TAAAATCTTTAAAAAAATAAAAAATAAATCTTTTTTAAAAAGGAGGTCTTGATGGAGTAAAAGCTAACAGAGTCTGGATTTTTTAAAAAGATTTTAATTTTTATTTGTCGGAGTGGGGAGCGGTAGGCAGAGGGAGAAGCAGAATCCCCCACTGAGCAGGGAGCCCGATGTGGGACTTGATCCTGGGACCGTGAGATCATGACCTGAGCTGAAGGCAGACTCTTAACCCACTGAGCCACGCAGGGATCCCCAGAGTCTGGATCTGAGGTCAGACCAGAGGTGCCTTGATGGTTCTAGAGTTCCAAAAGGCCCAGTTAGAGCAAAAAGCCAGTGACGGTGGGTATTAATTAGAGGCCCAGATTCAGTTGGACCAAAGAGTAGTCAGCAGAATTTCCATTCCAAATAAGACCAGAGGGGTATTGATGTTGGAATAGTTGAAAAAAGCTCAGGTTCAATGTCAGAGAAGAAGAGAAGTGATAATGGAATAGTTAACAGACACATGATTTCTGAGGTCTGCCTAGAGGGGAACTGATGATACAAGTGTTACCAGTGTCCTAGGTTCAATGTCAGATCGAAGGAGCAATTATAGGAAAATAGTAAATAGAGGCCAGGGTTCGAGGTAAGATCATAGGGGTATAGAGTGGTACAGTTTCTTGAAGTCAAGTGAGAGGAGCAGTGAGTGTGGGAAAGCCCATGGAGGGTCAGGTTTCAGACCTGAGGTGCAGTGATATTCAGTTAACTGAAGCCTGGATTCAAGGACAAAGAGTTATTGATGGTGGAATTATAAATAGAGTCTCAGAGTTTAGACCTCTGTAGCACTGATGGGGGAAGAGTTAAAAAGACTCAAGTTCAAAGGAAAACCAGGGATGCTTGGGTGACTGAGTTGATTAAGCATCTGCCTTTGGCTCAGGTCGTGATCCCAGGGTCCTAGGATTGAGCCCTCTCTGGGCTCTCTGCTCAGCGGGGAGCCTGCTTCTCCCCCTGCTTGTGCTCTCTCTGACAAAAAAATAAATAAAATCTTAAAAAAAAACCCTAAAAAACAGAGGCCCAGGACCGATGGTGGTAAAGTTATAAGCGTCTGCATTTGGAGTCCTACCAGAGAGGAACTGGTGAAGGAAACATTAAGAGATGCCCAGATTTGAGGTTAGACAAGAGACAGTGACAGTAGACCAGTTAGTCACAGAGGACTGGCCTGACGTTTGGACCACACAGGCATCAGTGGTAAAATAACTGGGGCACCTAGGTGGTTCAGTTGGTTAAGCATCTGCCTTCGGTTCAGGTCATGATCCCAGGGTCCTGGGATCAAGCCTCGCATCAGGCTCCTTGTTCAGCTGGGAGTCTGCTTCTCCTTCTCTCTGTCCCCTCTGCATGCCCTGCTTCTACGTGCTCTGTCAAATGAATAAATAAAATCTTTAAAATAAATAGACAAATAATGGCAAAATAATTAGTGGAGGCCCAGATTCAACGTCAGGACTGAGGGTCCTCATGGTTGGAATGCTTGCTGAAGCAAAGGGGCACTGATCACAAATGAACAGAATCTGAAATTCAAGGTCAGATCAGAAGACAAGAGCTGGTGGGACATTATACAGAGGCCCTGGTTTGAGATTTGGCCAGTGGGACACTGATGAGGTAGTAATTAACAGGGGCTCTGCTTCAAGCTCAGACTAGCAAGGCTATCATGAAATAAACACATGGGTTCAAAGTCAAAGACTAGAATGGCATTGATGGTGGAATGGTTAAGAGTTCCAGATCTGATGTCACACTGGGGGCACAGTGATGATGAACAAGTTAACAGAGGCCTAAATTTGACAAATAAGATGATTTTTTTAAATTGTTTGCTCATTACTTATTTCCTTGTAGGTTGTAAGTCAAGAAAAGGTATCACAAAAATGATTTTAAAGTAGAATGTCAGGGGTGCCTGGGTGGCTCAGGTGGTTAAGCGTTTGCCTTCGGCTCGGGTCATGATCCCAGTGTCCTGGGATCGAGTCCCACATCGAGCTCCCTGCTCACTGGGGAGCCTGTTTCTCTCTCTCCCTCAGCCTGCTGCTCTGCCTACTTGTGCTCTCTCTGTGTCCAAAAAAAAAAAAAAAGTAGAATGTCAGGATGAGGTGCCTGGGTGGCTCAGTCGGTTAAGCGAATGCTTTCGGCTCAGGTCATGATCTCAGGGTCCTGGGACCAAGCTCCGCATCAGACTCCCTGCTGAGTGGGGAGCCTGCTTCTCCCTCTCCCTCTGCTGCTCTGCCTGCTTATGCTCTCTTGCTCTGTCAAATAAATAAATACAATCTTAAAAAATAAATAAGTAAATAAAGTGGAACGTCAGTCATATGTGACTTCTGATCTCAGGGTCATGAGTTCAAGCCCTACGTTGGCCACAGGGTTTACTTTAAGAATAAAAATAAAATAAAATAAAGCAGAATGTCAACTCTGCCACCTCAAAACTTCACGGGAAAGAAACCCCCCAAATCATGTATAACAATATCCGTGATTAGCCATCTTGAATTCCGATTCAATAAACAACATGAAGAATGTGAAGAAAGTAAGAAGGTGCTTGGGCGCCTGGGTGGCTCAGTTGGTTAAGCAACTGCCTTCGGCTCAGGTCATGATCTTGGAGTCCTGGGATCGAGTCCTGCATCGGGCTCCCAACTCCATGGGGAGTCTGCTTCTCCCTCTGACCTCAGCTCTGATGCTCTCGCTCTCACTCTCTCCCTCTCAAATAAATAGATCTTAAAAAAAAAAAAGGTGCTAGAGAAAAATGAGGTTCCCCCAAGTGATCTTGGCCTCCACTGACCTTGGTTGAAATGGAGTGGCTTTTTGGTGTTGCACAGTGTGCAGAAAGAGTTAACACAGCAGGCCTGAACTTCTCTCCTGGGAAAAGCCTGCTTCAAGGATGGCCCTTGGCTGGCACCTGGAAACTTAAGTGTCTTTCAACAGGGTTCATCACCACTCTCTAAATGATGAGTGGCTCACTGTGCCTCAACTGTTCATATGCACACTCTGGTTTATGCTGAACACCTGCTTTCCTTCCAGGACAGTCTGGAGTTGGGTATGTGCCAGGCAGGGACCCCCCCTGTGTGACCACCCCCCAGAAGCAACCCTGGGCACTCAACCTCTAAGAATGAGCTTCTCTGGTTGTCAGGTGGCGTGACAGGGGGGAATTAAGCACATCCTGTGAGTCCACTGGGAGAGGACCCTTGCAAGCTCATGCCTGGTCTGCCCTGGAGTTCGCCCCGGGGCACCATTTCCCTTTGCCAATTGTGTTCTGTGTCTTTTTACGGGAAGAAATAAAAGGTGTGTATGCAACCATAGGCTGGAACCAAGAGTTCTCCCAGCAGATCTTGAGTCTGGGTGGTCTGGGGGACCTCGGACGCCTACAGACGCATGAACTGTGTCATGAACGTTCAGCTCACTGATGTCCCTACCTCCTCACCATTCACCATAAGGTCAAGGTGGAAGCACCGTGTAGAAATGCTTCCGCCTGCAAGTCAACCACACTGTTATTAACGCTGGCTTCAACAAACCAGGGATTTCTTCCCCTCCAACAAGACTGCTAGTGTTAGTTTGGTAGCTTGATAACGTTGGGTGGGGTTGGAGTGCCTGTGGCTCTGTGGACAGACACTGAGGTCTCAAGACTGTAGGCCCCAGCTCCTACTGATGCATCTGGATATGGCAGCCTATGCAGCTGGAGGGAAGGGAGCAGCTGGAGCACCTCCTTGGCATTTTTGGCAACTTTGACATTTCCTGGTGACTGAGGTCATTGACAAGGGCTTTTGGTTCTCTTGCCCCCTGTTAATATCCTAAGCTTTCTCTCCTCACTTGGGGGTCCCCTCAAACATGAACATCACTTTACAGACTTTGAGCTGTTCTGGGCCTTGAATTTGGGTCCTGGGTGGGCATGGAAGGAGCTACGGGTGGTCTGGGGTTCCTCTGGGGATGGAGAGAGAATCCCCATTCCCTCCCCCCATCAGCAAGAACCACCAGCTCAGGCTTAGGGTCCATGGTTGCTTCTGCATGGGTTTTGTACTCCACATCCTCAACTCATCTGGTCTCTGTTTGTGGGGAAGAGCCTTGGGGAGGGGGAAGGGGAGCTGGAAGGCCTCAGCCCTCCTGAGGAGCCAGCAGAGCCCTGCAGACTAACAGCATGAAATTCTCGTGGTAGAAGCCAATATTCCCCACCTCAGCTCCCACTTCCCCCACTTGCGTCCCCATCACTGCTCACCTCAACTCCTGTGGGGCCTTGTGACTGGTCCTCCTGCTTCTGCCCCTGTACCCCGCTCCCAAGTCTGTTCTTTTCACAGTACCTGGAGGGGTCCTCTTCCAACCAAATGGGATCGCATCCCTCCTCCGCTCATTCGGGTGACTCACCTCTCACTCAGAAAAAACCCAAGTCCTCACTGTGGCCACAGAGCTCTCCAGGATCAGGCCTGTCTGACCTCATCTCCTACCATACTCTGGTCCAGCCACACCTGCCTCTTCAGTGAGCCCTCTGGCACACTCTGGCCTCAGTGCCTTTGCACTCACTGCCTTTCCTCTCTCCCCAACCCCGCAGCTCTCTCTCACTTCATTCAGGTCTTTGTTTCAATTTCACTACCAGGAATGTCGTTGTCTCTCATCACAGCACCAAAAATAGTACAATCTTCTGCTCCTATGCCCTTATGTCCTGCCCTCCCAGCACAGGCCATGATATAGTTTTGCCTACCAACCACCTGCCATTGAACACGAGCCCCACGAAGGCAGGCACTTCTGTCCGTTGAGGTCACGGCTCTACCGCCCCTCAGTGCCTAGAACGGTTCTGCTGCCCAGCAGGTGCTCAATCATGTCTGTCCAATGCCAGACTGAGCCAAACACTTACAGGGGGGCCCGTGATGGGGAGGCATTCAATGACCAGTTGCTAAGTGAGGAAATTGATGCCTGAAGGTGCAAGCAAGGGAGCGAACCCTGTGCCAGCTCGGGTGCTAGAGCCACCCCCACCACCCCCCACCCCAGCGGACCTGGGAGCCAGCCACAGGCACAACCACAGGAACTTTATTTACAAACACAAGGCTGGAGTGGGAGATGGGTGGGCAGGCGACCCGGCAGGACCTACTTCTGCTCCCGCCTCCAGACGATGACCATGCCACTGGCGTCACTGGAAGCCAGCAGACTCTCATCACAGTTGAAGCTCACGTCCAGCACGGGGGCGCTGTGGCCCTGAAGCTTGTTGACGGCAGCCTTGGCGGCCCGCTCCACATCGAAGAAGTGCACACACATGTCCTCGCTGCCGGTCACTGCCCAGGGTAGGGGGAGGAGGGGGGGGCGTTGGGAGGTGGTGGCAGAGACAGCAGGGTGCCCTGGGAGGGACAGTCCCTGGACCTGGGTCACCTGGCTGTTTTAGTCCCGTGTCCAGAGTGTGAGGTCTCTGAGCTGTTGGGGGTTGGGGGGAGGTAGACTGTGTCTCACATTGTGAATTTCCTGGACTCTTGGGGGTCTTTGTTCAAAGCGGGAGGCTGCTGGGGTGAGAGCTCTCGAGGCCCATAAAGTCCGGGCACCAGAGGGCCGGGGTGTCCATCCCTGCCCTGCCCCAAGCCACCCAGACACCCCGAACTCTGCGGGACTCACCCACACAGGCCCCCTGGCGGAAGGACATGAGGGGGCAGAAGATGCTGCGCACAGGGTGCGAGCTCTGCTCAATGGGGAAGCTTCTCTTCAGCTGCAGCGTCCCCTCGTTGTCCACCACCCTGAGGGAAGGATGGCAGTGGGTCAGGGCGTCGCCTCAGCGCTGGCCGGCACTGAACGGGGGAGTGAGGGGGTGGGGGGGCAACGGTTTGTGTCCCCACCCCCATGCCTGAGCTCTTTCCAAGGCTCACGAGGTCTAGTTTTGAGGCGACTGCGTAAACCTATCAAGCAGGGCTGGCACGTGCGTTCGTGAGGGTCTGGAAGCTACCTGGCAGTGGAAATGGGGAGCCTAGGCAGCACGGTTCGCTGGTTTCTCTTTCTTAAAGACCTTGGTGGTTAAGATGGGCACAAGGAGGGGACAGGGCCGACCAAACTGGACCACCCCCCATGCCACGGGAAATGAAGGGGCCATTCGAAAGAATGGATGAGACAAAGGCACTGCAGGGGGCCTGAGAGCTGTTCCAGAAGCATCCTCTGATGAGGAGTGCAAGATGTGGGAGAGGATGGAAGAGGAGCCTGCTTCCATGAAAAGACCCTCCCTTCGAAATGTGGGGAATGGGGGCGTACGCCTCGGATGACAAGGGGAGAACAAAACAGGAAGGGGCACACAGAGTCATTGGCCAAGGTGGCAGAAGAGGAAGGAGGGAAGGGAGAAGATGGGGGGGAAGAGCCCTGCATTTGGGAGTATGCCTAAATTAAGAATTACACATACGACTATGTGTGTGTGTGAATTTTTTTTTTTTAAAAAAGCAGAAAAACGAAAGAGTACAAAAGGAAACATCTTGCCGGGCGGTGCCTTTCAGGCCTGGCTGGACATTGCTGGGGGAGCTTTTCAGTACACCAACGCACCCAGTCCCACCGCAGGGCTTCTGAAATCACCGGCCTGGAGTGGGGCCTGGCCATGATTCTGTGAAGCCCTCCGGGTCATTCTGGCCTGCAGCCCAGGCTGAGAACTGCGTTTGAGTAACATGTCATAGGTGAGCGGGGATAGTAAATTCCTCCACTCAAAAACACCAAAAAGGAAAAAGAGAAAAAAAAAAAGGGAAGGACGGAGGGAGGGAAAGAGGAAGGAAGAAAGGAAGGACGAACAGGCCACTGCTCTGAGAGGGCCCTAGTCTATTTTATGCCTCAGGTGGCTCATCTGTGAAATGGGCACAATCACAGGCCCCTCCTCACAGCACTGTTCTGAGGATTAAGTGGAGCACTAGGAATGAGGCGCTCCCCCAGGGCCTGGCGGCAGCCCTCGCTCCACCAGCACCAGTTACTTCTGCCACCACTCCTCCCACTGACAGCCGGCATAATCGTCAGGAGACCTGATTTCCCTGCTCACTCAAATTAACCTGATGGAGGAGACAGGCTCTCAGGCCCTAGCCACGCCAGTCTGATGGCAGCGGCAGGCCCCGCCTCTCCTGGAGACCTGGAAGGGGAGGACCCACCTGTAGAGCAGCAGCTTGTTGAGGCAAGCGTTGATGAGCAGCGAGGGGTCCCGGGCCTCGCGGCTGACCCAGGAGCGCGCGGAGATGCTGGTCACGGGGCTCCCCTCATGCACCACCAGACGCTTGGCTTTGGTCAGCTTCCCTGGAACGACAGAGGAAGAGGGGACACAAGTAAGAGGCTGTGTGCTGGGACGGTGGCAGCCCGAATACCCTAGATGCAGGCCTGGGGCTGGCCTACCTGTGGCCATGTCGAAGAGGAAGGAGAAAACACTGCCACGGTCATCGCCTGCCCAGAGCAGCCGGCCAGGGGCATCAAAGGACAGAGCGAGGACCCGGCCTGTCAGCTTGCTGGAGCCCCCCTTCACTTTCTTGCCCGTGGAGATGTTCATGACGTGCACGTTGTGCTTGGCATTCCCCACCTGTTGGGGAGACCAAACACACCACACACTGCTCTCAGCCCGCCCCTCCTTGGGTCTGACCACGACAGAGCAGCTGTCGATGGAACTGGCTGGTTCCTACTTGAATCTAACCCTGGGGCGGCTGCAGCGGCAAGACTGGGAGGTGACCGAGGTCTGTGATCCTTCAGAACCAGAGCCAGCCCCCTCTTGCCATCTAACCAGGATGGGCAGCTGCCCCTTAGCATGCCCCCCAACCCTGTGACTGGCAAACCACAGGGCCATCCCAGGCTGGTAAGGACAGCCAGTCTGCTTCCTGACTGGTCCTCGCCAGAGACTTGACCACACTGGGGCCAGAGCTGCAGCCGAAGGAACCCCAGAACGCAACAGGCTCACTCAGCCAGTCCCCTCTCTGCCACTCGGGGCCTGGCCAGATTTTCACTTCTTTTCCCCACCCTCTGACTCTCAGTCCTGGGGTCAGACCGCAGTGGAGTTGTGCCACTGGGAGGAGCCCAGTCTTCCGACTAGCCATCCTGCCCCCCAACCAGTGGCCCCCGTGGCTGGAGAACAGCAGCCCTGCTGTTGATGGGACCAGAGGAGTACCAGAGCTGGGACTCTGGCTCCTGACCAGTCCCCCCCTGGAGTCTGTCACAGCAAGCCAACCCAATGTCAAGCACAGTGGCCCGGTTCTGACCTATTTCTCTCTGAGTCTGACCGCATGGACGACTGTGATGAGGAACTGGAGGGGACCCTCCCCCCACCCATACTGACTCCCCGGGACGGCTCTCCAGGCCCGGCAGCCCCACCCTCGATGAGCAGCACCCTGAAGCCTGACCACTGTGAGGTTGTTGTTGACCGGCTGGAAGGTGCAGCAGAGCAGTTCGGCGCTGTCGGGGTCAGGAATCTCCCGGATGCAGCGGCCGTCCTCAGAGGCCCAGATGCGCATGGTAGCGTCGAGCGAGGTGGACACGAGGATGTCGTTGGAGAGGGACCAGGCGAAGTCGGAGACACCGCGGGTGTGGCCCCGCAGCACTCGGAGCACTGTGGGCGGGGCGGGCACCAGCTGGCACAGGGAGATGCTGCCATCCAGGGAGCAGCAGGCCAGGCGGTGCCGGTCGTCATTGGCAAAGCGCACCCTTGGGACTGCAAATGCCAAGAAGCCGCTGGTGGGACACAGCACACTCGCCAGGCGCTTTCATTTATAAAAGGCTCTGCTGTGCGCACTGGGGGCTGGAACCCACTGAGCCAAGCACGGGGGCTTCTGCAAAAGGCTTTCCTTGGCTGAGAACGGGAGTGGGAACCCTAGAAGGCCCTCTGCCAAAAGCTCCCTACACTTTAGCCAGTGTTTTATAGTTACCAACATCTCGGCGGTTTGCAAAGCCTGCACTGCCCATTGTGAGGGGATTTCTCTGTAGCCAAGGCTCTAAACTCTTTCAAGCAACTCATGACCCCGGAAGCCTTCTGCAAAGTCCTCTTTTGAGCTGCCGGACCCTTTTACGATAGCCCAAGTACTTGAGATCTTGTGGGCCGCTTTACTTTGCAGAGGGCTTGTGGGCTTGGGGAGAGGTTTAGGGATGGCAACTCCTCCTTCGGAGGTGGGCCGGAGACTCTGAGTTGCAGAAGGGGATGCAATGAGTAGCTGTCCCAGTTCGGGAAAATGAGTGGTGAGGGGACCCGCTACCTGCTGGCTTACCTGCCTCATCCACGTGTTGGTCGAAAACATGGTACATGCCCGCAAAGGCGTAGTTCTCACTCAGCGATGTGTCCCCAGCCATGGCACGACTTGCTTCTGCTGCTGATGTGGGTACCACACTGCCAGGGGGCCTGGGCCCCAACAGGAGTTGGGGGGGTAACATGAAGTAGGTGCTAGCATTCAGGCCCTATGGTCCCTCTCCCCCTTACAGACCCCAGCTCATAACTGTCCCTTGCATACCTGTCCTCATAGACGGCACGGTTCATCTGTGCCTGCAGCTGGTAGGAGCCTCGGCTGACGGAACGGCGGTGCCCACGGGCCCCTAGGGCCCGAGGATCATCCTCAAAATCCTGCAAATGGAAGGTCAGGGTGGGCACATCTTGAAGATGGTCCTCAAGAATGTGTGAGGTCTGGAGTCTTCAAAATATACCCAGAACCAGATCCCTTCTCACCCTACCCACCACCATGACCATGGCCTGTACTACCGGGGTGGCCTCGGCACTAGCTCCCCACTGAGTGGATACTCAATAAATATTCTGAGGAAAGAATGGACACTTTCCCCCTGAAAACCACTCAGAGCCAGCTCTTGCTTCATTCCAGCCTCAGCTCAACTGTCACCTCCTCGGAGAGGACTTTCCTGATCATCCCCATCAGAAATAGCTCCCCTCTGTTCCCCACAGGAGTCTCATTTTACCCCCAAGCCTGCTTTACTTTTTCATCTTAGTAAGCCATGTTAATTATTGATTTATCTGGCTTCACATGTCTCTTGACCCATTTACCTTGTTTATTGCCTATTTATCAATGTGTTCATCTTGTCTGTTGTCCATTTATTGAGTTATCACATTATTATCTTTTTTAAAAAAGGTTTTATTTATTTATTTGTCAGAAAGAAAGAGCACACAAGCAGGCAGAGGTGGAGAGAGAAGCAGGCTCCCCACCGAGCAAGAAGCCTGATGCGGGACTCGATCCCAGGACCCTGGGGTCATGACCTGAGCTGAAGGCAGCAGCTTAACCAACTGAGCCACCCAGGCGTCCCACGTTATTATCTCTTTCTGCCCTTTGCTTCTCCTAAGAGCCTGGCACGGTGCCTTGCACAGAGCAGGTGCCCGACAAGTGTGCTGAGTGAATGCATATAGACACGGGTGGTGTGCATGGCAGGCAGTGTGGGGAGGAGCTCACCTCCATGCGGTCTAGGGTAGTTCGGCTGCTGCGAACGATGCTGTTGCTGTAGGCACGGGCACTGCCTGGCTCGGAGAGGGGCCCGTATCGCTGGCCCAGCAGCTGCCCACGCAGCCTCAGGTACTGCCGACGCAGCGCTGGGGGGTGCCCAGCCTTGGCATTCTCCCGCAGCAGCTGGCTGCGCCGTCGGATGTACTGTGTCCGAAACTGTGGAAACGTTGGTGTGCGGTACGCGTTGTACCTATGATGGCAGGAGGCAGGACGGGCAGCAGGCACAGGATAGAGGGAATCAATCAGCCCAGGGGACAGGGAAAGTGAGTGAGGTGTGTGGCAGCGAGGGGTCAGGAGGACAAGTGATCAGCAGTGGTGATGGGGGTCCCTCTGGTGCTGTGATGAGAGTGGATCTACAGTAATAAAAGGCATGGTGATGAGGTCACTGTGCTGACAATGGAGGCCGTCTGCAGCTTTGCTGGAGTTGGTATGGGGTGACTGAGTCAGTGTAGACAATAGCAGGCGTCAGGGTGACATGGTGATGGGGGGGTCAGTGTGGGCAATGGTGGAAGTCAGGATGGGATGGCGATGGGGTCAGATTGGGGAAGTGATGATGGTAAGAGAAGGCTGCGGGAGGGGAGGGCAATGGTGGGGAATAGGATGTCACCAGCCTGAGCTCCATCATCCCCTTCCAAAGGCTCTGACAGCACAGCCTCTTTGCGCATGCCCAGATCTGGCTGCGTTTTCCCCGCATGCTCTTTTCGACCCTCTTGCCAGCCCTACACGCCCCCACACCCTGCTACTGCGCATGCTCACCTCCGGCATGCCCACGCAACCGCATAAAACCAGTTCTCCGCCCAGCCTCACTTATCGCCATTGCGCATGCACCACAGTAACTTCCGCTCCCATGGGCTTCGACCCCACGCCTCACCTCGCGTCTACTGCTAAGACCTGCTGCCACACCGCGGCCATTCCCCGGCCTCCTCTTCTGGCGTGTCCGCCCGCGGGAGCCTGCAGGACAAGGGCCTGGAATGTCAAAGTTTCAAGTGAAGGGATTTAATTCCGCCCCTTCTGTCAGACGATCTTTGCCGTAGACACCAAGTCCCTCGACGCCGGGACGTCGCGAAATACCACCCGGCAGCTAGCATGGTCATCACCCCAGCCCTGCCCTGCTTTGCCCTTCCCGGGCAGTTCCCGGAAGACTCACAACAGCGATTCAGATCTGATCCCGCCCCTCCCCGGTCACCATAGCGACGCCCCTCCTCCCGTCTAGCAATCCTTCTTGGCATTCCCCATCCCCCGCCGCCCTCCGCCTTCCCTTCTCAGGTTCAAGAGCAGAGCCGGGGATCAGAGACCACCTCCGGGGCTGCCTCCGGCTCTTGAGGCCCCCGGGGCGGCCCTGAGACCAGTGTCGCCCTTTCCTTCTCTCGGCTCCCTCTCTCAGGCTCCAGCAAGATGGCCGCCTACTGCCAGGAAGAGCTGCCAAGCCCAGAGCGAATGGATAGGAATCTTTCCCAGGGCGTGGGAGAACCACGCAAGCGCGCTTTGGGACAGTAGCTTCCGGTACTGGATGGAGGCTCCACCCCTTAAGTTCTACCCACCCCACCCCCGATTCCTAATGGCATTTTTTGTATACACAGGAATAATGTCCAGGGGTCAGAGAGACGGTCGAGTATGCGAATCACTCCCCCCAAATTAGAAATACGACTTTCTTTTGAAACCGTGGAATAAACTTAGCACAATCTTGGCTAAGCAAGATTTGAAGCATGGGAGAGACCCCCATCACCACTGCTGATCACTTGTTATACCATCAAAAATAATCACACATGCAGAGGCTTCTAGGCTGTTCTCCAGTTCTTAAAGTGATTGACGAGCATCCAGACAACCCTGGGATGAGAGTAGTCTGTTCTGTGGTGGGGGTGTGTGTGGGGTGGAGTTGGATGGTCCCAGGAATCTTGGTCTGGGCCTGAGTCTCCAAAGGCAGAAAGCATTTAAGTAGGCACAACAGGCTTTGGATCCCAAGAGGTTATCTGAACCATCCTTCTTTCAACTCTAACAGGAAGTTGCAACTCTTAACTGCTTATCTTTTTTTTTAAGTAACCTACATCCAACATGGGGCTCAAACTTACTTCCCTGAGATCAGCAGTTGCATGATCTACCAAGTGAGCCAGCCAGGTGCCCCTCTATTCATCTTAATGTGGTCAGGATTAAAAGAACTTAAAAAATTGAAATACAAATCTAGTAGCTTCCTATTGGATCTTAACATCCACTAACTACCACAATTCTCAAAACTTTTATTTTTCACACTACTTTTTATAACATACAATAATCTGAACAGTTTTTTAAAATCTTATTTGTCAGAGAGCGAGAGGGCGTGCACATACACAGGCAGGAGGAGCTGTAGGCGGAGGGAGGAGCAAGCTCCCTGCTAAGCAAGGAGCAGGATGTGGGACCCTATCCCAGGACCCTGGGATCATGACCTGCGCCAAACGAAGACGCTTAACTGACTGAGCTACCCAGGTGTCCCTAATCTGAACAGTTTTAAAGCCACTTGAAATGAGGAGACACAGAGAGCCTGGGTGGCTCAGTGGATTAAACCCTCTGCCTTGGGCTCAGGTCATGATCCCAGGGTCCTGGGATGGAGCCCCGAATCAGGCTCTCTGCTCAGCGGGGAGCCTGCTTTCTTTCCTCTCTCTCTGCCTGCCTCTCTGCCTACTTGTGATCTCTGTCTGTCAAATAAATAAATAAAATCTTAAAAAAAAAAAAAAGAAGAAGAAATGAGGAGACACATCCAAAACACGAATTGCACTTTGTGTGTTCTAACAAAAATAGACCACACTGTTTTGGATCAACAGAGCACCTCCCTTGTCCATGTAACTAAGCTGTGGGTGTCTTTTAAAAATTTTTTTAAAAGGTTGTATTTATTAATTTGACAGAGAGAGAGAGTGAGCATGCACAAGCAGGGGGAGCAGCAGGTATAGGAAGAGGAAGAAGCAGGCTCCCTGCTGAACAGAGAGCCTGATCCCAGGGTTCAATCCCAGAATCATGACTCCAGCTGAAAGCAGACATTTAACAGTGAAGGTGCCCCTATGTGTGTCTTTTTAAATACCTTCTATTTGATGGTTGCTAAAGAATAAACTGTTTCACTGCACAAACGTATAACCACTAACATTTATTGGCTAATATGCTGGACACATGGTGATCTACATGTATTAATCCATTTAATACTAATAACTGAATGTTCTGGGTCTCCTTACTATCTCCATTTTACAAATGAGGAAAGCTGAAGCCCAGGGAGTTCAAGGGTGACATTTTATTGAACTGGTCTCCTATTTGAGACCAGCATCGGGTTTATTTTCAAGTATTTTTCTTTCCATAAAGGATGCTATGACCAACCTCTTTCCCATTCACACCTTAACCCTCCCTGGATGGGGCCCCGCCCCTTCATACCACCACTCAGCTTCCAAAGAAACATGGTGGGGAAAAAAGTACAGGAAAGTCAGGGATGCCAACGACACGTACTCTCTGAACTGCTGGAATTGGTTTTTTGTTGTTGTTGTTTTTACAATATTCTGTATGTTAAAATTTCAAAAATTATTTTTAAAATTTCACTCCTAACATGCTATAAGATACTAGATAAAAACCTAATGATAGGGTTGAGGTAAGTAGGAATGAAATAATGCATAGTAAGTAAGTAAGTGTTCACAACACCTGTTGTGTGAACGTTTGCTGTTTTTCTGAGAAGTTCTACAGCACTTTTCAGAAGGCAGTATAACTTGGCCACTGCTGTAGGCTCTGCCAAATAGGAGCTGTGATCTTGGGAAAATCACTTAATCCCTTTGTAGCTCAGTCTCCTCATCTGAAAAAAAATGGCCTCATAGGGTTATACGGAGGACTAAATGAGTTAATACTTGTAAAGCTTAGAGGGCATCTGGAGAAGAGAAAATACCCACTAAAGGTTGACTGCTTGAGTGCCTGGGTGGCTCAGTCGTTAAGCAGCTGCCTTTGGCTCAGGTCAGGATCCCAGAGTCCTGGCATCGAGCCCCGAATCAGGCTCACTGCTCCGAGGGAGACCTGTTTTCTCTCTCCCACTCCCCCTGCTTGTGTTCCCTCTTTCACTGTCTCTCTGTCAAAAAAAGAAATAAAATCTTAAAAAAAATAAAGGTTGACTACCATCAGTTGTTTTAAGAACTTTTCCCAATACAGCTGCATCTGCCAGAGGTTGTTCTGGTGCAGAAATAATGTGAATTAACAACCACAGCCACCTCTTACATTTGTTGTGTTTTGCGTTTTTAAAAAGATTTTATTTATTTATTTGACAGGGAGAGAGAGATCACAAGTAGGCAGAGAGGCAGGCAGAGAGAGAGGGGGAAGCAAAGCAGAGAGCCCGATGTGGGGCTTGATCCCAGGACCCTGAGACCATGACCTGAGCCGAAGGCAGAGGCTTAACCCACTGAGCCACCCAGGGGCCCCATATTTTGCATTTTTCTCTAAAATATTTACACACTCTCACTGGGTTAAACAAGGGGTTTTGAACAAGTTGGTTTTTGAACAAGGGGTTTTGACAGAAGGCACCTTTCAGTTTGCTGGGAGCTTGGCCAGAACGTGGCAGAATTTATTGGCAAGAATGGCAGGCAGGTCAGTGGGTAGGGAAAGGAGGGTCTCAGGTCTGGGGTTATGAAGTCATCAGAGGCAGCTTGGGGAGGCTGGGAGTGACCTTGGTTGTAATCATGACATCTAGAGAAAAAAGCTGAAGCCCATGAAGTCCTACTCTAACAGGACCTGGGGCTGTTTTATTGTCAGATTGATAATTAAGGGTCCTAGACAGAAGAACAAACAGATTCAGACAGAAAAGACTGGAAGCCAGAGCTGTTTGAAGATAACACATCACAATAGGGACTTGAGTGGTGGGAGAAACAGCCAGGGGCTATGTCTTTCCTGGACTCTTCCTTCCTTCCTGTGCTTCCTGCCCATTCAACCCCTACCCCTGGCCCCTAGTTTAGAAATGCAAAGGCAAGCACTGGATCACACTGGCTGCAATCACTTTTCATTACTAAGGCTGACACCAAACATGAAGTTGAGCCCCATCCTCTGGGACAAAGGGCAGTGCAATTTGAGAGAAAGCCTGGGTGGCTTGGGGTGACAAGGGTATGCTGAGAATCAAGACCCAAGAGCAAAATGGGAGACATAGAGCTGAGGTGTAACTGGAGTCTAGAGTTCTTTTTTTTTTTTTTTACATTTATTTATTTATTTTTAAAGAGTTTATTTATTTATTTATTTATTTGCCAGAGAGAGAGAGAGACAGAGAGAGAAAGAGACAGAGAGAGACAGAGCACAGCAGGGGAAGCACCAGGTGGAGGGAGAAACGGGCTCCCTGGTGAGCAGGGAGCCCGACATGGGACCCGATCCCAGGACTCTGGGATGGTGTGACCTGAGCCAAAGGCAGACACTTAACCAACTGAGCTCCCCAGGTGACCCTGGAGTGTAGGGTTCTTATTCACTTATCTCACCTTCAAAGTTTCTTCCTAAACGGGACAAGTGGGGGTTGGGACATAAGGTCATAACTTAAATTTTACCATTTCCTGACAAAAAACATTTGCCTCTGAAGCCAAAGTTCTCCTCATGGCCAAAGTTCTTAATGGTAATAACTCTCCATGGCCTGAGTCAGAAACAAGATTCCTGCGGTTGGGAGAAGCCTCACAGACCACTTGAACAGCCCCCTCGGGCTGAAACGGAGAGCTAGCCTGCCAAGCAGCACCTACTTGTCAAGCTCCTACTCGGTGTCAGGCACTGGGAAAACAGTAGTACTTGAACCCACTCTCACGGAGCTGCCACTGTAACTGGACAGATAAACAAGAAGGTCATATAAGAAACTGATACTCAGGGCGCCTGGGTGGCTCAGTCATTAAGCTTCTGCCTTCGACTTGAGTCATGATCCCAGGGTCCCGAGATTGAGAGCCCCGCATCGGGCTCCCTGCTTGGTGGGAAACCCGTTTCTCCCTCTCCTACTCGCCCTGCTTGTATCCCCTCTATTGGTGTCTCTCTGTTAAATAAATAAATAAAATCTTAAAAAAAAAGAAATTGGTACTATTGTTAAAATAGAAGTTTGGTTAGTGTTGCTGAGCTGTGGGGGAAGGAAGGAGGGATGAGAAAGACATTTTGGCTGGAAACTGAATGAAAAGGAGCCAGGCACACAGAGCTCTGGACGCTGAGTGTGTGGACAAGGCCAATGAGGCTCGTCAGTGACTGACTCAGAGACGGGAACGTCACTTCACGGGGCTAG